ACAGACACCTCTAAACGTAATATAGTGTATCCTATAAGACCCACAAAAACCCTATCATTTAAGAGCCAGAGTCACAAGGCACCACACACACAGTCAGAGTCTTATCTTCTATGGTAACAAAGAGTTACTAAATATCTAAGGTTAGGTGGCATTTTTTTTTTTAAAGACTTTATTGTTCCTTTTTCTCCCCAAGCCCCCCAGGTACATAGTTGTATATTTTTAGTTGTGGGTCCTTCTAGTTATGGCATGTGGGACCCTGCCTCAGCATGGCTTGACGAGTGGTGCCATGTCCACACCCAGGATCCAAACTGGCGAAACCCTGGGCTGCCAAAGCGGAGCACTCGAACTTAATCACTCGGCCACAGGGCCAGCCCGGGCATTTTTTTCAATTGTAGGTAATAATAAAAACAAGTCCTTCTTGCCATTTGTCTCACATGCATGAGTTTTGGAGTTAGACAAAGCAAGGGCTGAATCTCAGTTCCGCCACTTAGCTCCCTCAGCTCTGGAAAGTTACTAAGCTTCATTGTCTGAGCCTCAGTCTCTTCATCTGTAAAATGGGATATCTACCTTAGAGAACTGTATGGAAATTTTTATTTTTTCATTTTTTATTTTTTTTGGTGAGGAAGATTGGCCCTGAGCTAACATCTGTTGCCAATCTTCCTCTATTTTATATGTGGGATACTGGCACAGCATGGCTTGATGAGCAGTATGCAGGTCTGCACCTAGGATCCAAATGCATGAAACCCTGGGCCAGCGAGCGCACGAGCTTAACTACCACGGCACGGGGCCAGCCCCTATATAGAAATTAAACGTGATCATTTATTTAAGGAACATAGTACAGTGCCTAGATGAAACATTAAGTTTCTTCTCACAATCCCTATGGACCAAATGAAATTAAACTAAACACTAAGTCCCACTCTTGACCCACAAGATTCCTCTGTCTCCATTTTAGAGATTGGAATAAATCTAAAATGCTTCTAGGGCAAATCCTACTAGTTTGCTTTGAAATAATTATTTGATAAGAAAAGCTTCTTGAAATTTGTCTCTTTTCTTCTTCAAATTGGGAACAGAAAACAATGAGGAATGTTAAGTGTTTAAGTTAAGTATTAGTTACATGTAAATTCAGGACTTTCATATCATCTTAACCCTTTACAAACCTAACGAAGAGAGGAACTATAGAACTAATGTGTGGGAAGAGGAAAGGATGGAAGGCCAAAAGACAGTTAAAATGACTCAATTGTATGAGTGGGCTTTTTTTTTTTTATTGAATTCATTTATTACACTCTAAGAAAATAACGTTCAGGAGAGCCAAAACCATATCTCCTCGATTCAGGGTGCTTTAGTAGCCTGACCCCTCAGATTAAGCAAATACCATTTTTCAGGATATACAGTCACGATGCTTCCGCCAGTAACAACCCAGTCATTTCCAAGATGGGTATGTGCCCTTCAAAGTGGCTGATCTACAGTAGGTACTGAAATAAGACTGCCTTTTCTCCTACCTCAAACATAGTACAGACTAGCCCACCCACACTATAAACTCATTTCAGTTGAGTGATTTTTCTCCACTAACTATAAAAATAATGTTTGTGTTTTTAAACTTGGGAAAATACAAAAAGTACAAGCATTTTTAAACCAACCATGATCTTATCAGCCCAAAATCAAAATATTACAAGGGGACATTCCTACATCTTTCCTAAGAATTTGACCATAACTGTGATCATACCAAAATTTAAATTTATATAGAGCACTTGCCACTAAACATGATTAAATACCAGCCTATATCTTAATATCTTCATTCTGGCTTTCTTGAGACTAAATTTACATTACTTTTTTCCTTACTCAACTCAGGAGTTCTTCTCAATCTTTGTTCTCTCAGCTACATATTTTGCTGCTGACCACTTCCTCTTTCTTAAAACTCTATCTGAAGTTTCCCTAAACAGTATATTTCTCAGTGTCTACAAAAGTCTCTCCAATTAATCTTTTTCTCTTTCTTCACTGGCTCTCTTCTGTTAACTCTTGATAATCTAAAAAAATGACTCAATACTTGAATAAAACAAAAAAATAATAAAATAAAACAACAGGATACTATAAAATAGGAACATTCAAATAACAAAAAAGAACTCTTGAAAACTAAAAATGTGCACCAGAAATTTAAAAAAAAAAAAAAAGGCTCAGGCCTAATCTTTGGACTGGCTTGTCAACTTTAAATCTCTAGCACTCAACAAAAGTGCCAGGCATGAAGCAGATGCTCAATTAACATTTACTAATTGGCTTTGCCAATTTTGACCTGCTACTCACTAGATGGGTGACCCTGGGCAAATTAAATCTTTCTGAATCTCAGTTCCCTATCTATAAAATAGGGACAATGAAAAAGGAAGATGATGCTTAGAAAGCTCAAAACAGTGTCTCACACTAAGTTGCACCCAATAAATTTTGCTATTATTAACAACATAATCTAATGCAGAACTCAAAAAATGTTGATGATTATCATATATGGTTGAACACCAAATCTACCTCTCAATAACCCAACTTAAAAACTTTCACCATATTCTCTTATCATAACTATCAAAAAATATTTTTGTGCTTCCCTTTACTACCTATCTCCTATCCATCACCAACTATTCTAATTCTTCTCTCCTAGCCACCATGTGGAACCATCGTTTATCAACTAAGCTACAGTAACAGGTTTAGTTGATTTCTACACCGTTAAATCTTGATTTGAATCTTCAATCCTCCCTAAAAACCATTTTTAATTTGTCACTCTTGCCCACAGTTGCCAATAGCATGTCCAAACTACTGGAACCTCATCCTCATGTTTTCCAGTAACCCATATCCTAACTCCTAGCTCAAAAAATGGCTCAAAACTCACCTCTTCCAGGAAACCTTCCCTGATTAACTCCACACCACTCAGATTACTTCTCTGTTCCCAGTCGCCTCAGCATCTCAGCACTGAGGTATTCTGTTATACTAAGGGTAAAATGTGATCAGTGAATAGCATTACCAAGAAATTACTTCCACAAAATCATTTCTATGTCCTAAAGAATGAGCCATTCGATACAATGCTTTATTGATCTAGTTAATAAGCAAACATCCTATACAATAAATGCCCTCTTTGGTTTCTGTCCTTGACACTATACTGTCTTATGTTTGTCGAGAAGTGTTTAACTCTTCACAACCCATTCACCCTACCTTCAAGCAGAAAGTACACCTCACTGTCTATACTTCCTCCCATTTAAAGCCACTGGAAATGCAGCAGGCGGTCACTTTTTCCTTCTTTCCTTCACTATTCCTTCTTCTCTGGCCCCAACCTCTACCCACACCCCATAAATAAAAATTCCAAAAAGGCAACAGCAGTGATACACACATACTATGTCTTTCTCTAAGTGAAAAGAATTTTGAACCTATTTAGCTACAAAACTCTTCCTAAGGCTGAAAAATTTCTCAACAAGCATGATACACAATCAAACTCTACCACATCAAAATAGTTGATCCTATAAGATTGTACTTATATGCTAATTCTCACTTGTGTTACTATAAGAAATCTCGCGTCATTTTTAAGCTACACTACACATGCCCAACAAGATAGCTGAGAAACTTCCCCGTAGGGCACATTTTCTGTATCTTCCAACGTTATCTTTAAGCCAACGCATTCCACTTTGTTTAATATAAAACATTAAGTGATTCCTCACTGCCATCCAATCCAAATCAAACAATCCTTGTGTCATTACTTCTGAGAGGGTGAGTTTGCTGCTGAGGCAAAACAATGAGACGAACTATGGGGGCGGGGGTGGGGCGGGGAGACACACGACCATCAGTCTCAGCAGTGAGAGTTAACCAGTCTGAGTGTTTGGGCCCTGGATCAGGAGCGAATGAGCCAATGAACCTGCCTGACTAGCTCCTACCTGAGACATTCGGCTCTCCCGTGCCTGCCCAAACGAACAGCTGTTCTTGCTCAATTACTCATAAAAGGTCCATACCCTTGAGCTATCATAGCTCAACCTACGCCGTTTGTTCTCCGTAGACTTTATCCTAACTGGCCACCTAACGCCTTCTAATCAGCCTCCATCCAGACGGCACCTAAAAACCTTCCCCTCTCACCTGCCGTTTGCAGTAGGTGCCCCTCACTTCGGATCCACGTGTCCCCATTTGCGCAGAGATCATAACCTTCAAAACCCAAGCCTGTCCTCCCTCCACTCCCACTGACCCCCACCCCGCCAATGCCTACTTCCAAGAAGCCAACCCCACTCCCGGACTCCGCACTTTCTCTCCGGGCACGCTTTTCTGAGCATCATCCTTTTCCCATCAGTGATTTCCTACCCCAGACCCAGAATCCTGCAATCGCAGGCCCCCTTGGCGGCCACCCTCGGGCACACGAGCCTGCTCCTCCGTTACCTACCCCGCCCAACCTTCGCCACCTCGAAGCGGCCTCGCCACCCCAGGCGGCGCCCCCGGGCTCCGCGGCTGCAAACCAGGCTCCTCCCTGCAGCCCCACTCGCGGTGCCGGCCCTGCCGAGGGCGGCGGCCCGGCCAGGGGCGCAGAGACCAACCGGGCTGAGGTGGGCGCCCCGGCTCGGGCGGCCGAGGGTGGGGGCGGGGAAGGGGCGCCCGAGGTCGCCCCCGCCTGGGCCTGCCCCGCCGCCCGGGCTCCCGCGCTGGCCCCCGGGCCAGGCGAGGAGGGGCCTGCGGTCCGGCCTCTCTACCCGGCGTCCCCGCCTCTCACCTAGACGCAGAGGCTCGGGCCTCGCTTTCCCCCTGGCCGTCCACGATGGCTCCGCCGCCGCCGCGCTCTCCTCACTCGCTCTTCCACCGCCCCCGACCGGCTAATGAAGAGCGGACGAACAGTGGCACGCCCATTGGCTGCCACCCGCACTCGCGTCAGCCGGCCCCGACCCGGACCTCGCGATGTCACTGGCTGGCGCGGCGCTTCTTTTCCACGTCCGGCCCTGATTGGCTGTCTCGTGCCCCCTCACCGGGAGGACCGCTCACCCTCCTCCCGGCTTCAGCACCCCCGCCCCCAACCCGGTCTCCAGCCGGGCCGGAGGGGGGCGGGAGCAGGCGCGGGTGGGATGCGAACCGCCAATGGGAGCCCCGAGAGACGCCCGGGAGGTGCGCGCTGCGGCCGGCCGGCCGGCCCGCCGAGGGAAGTGCAGCCAATGGGCGCGCGCCCCACATCCCGGGTTCAGGAGCGCCCCCACCCTGGCTGCTGACGTTCGGGCGGGTGGCGCCCAGGGCCACGCCCGGCTGTCGGTCGCGCCGGAGGGGCACCCGCTCGAAAGGTGGGAAGGATACGGCCAGGCCAGCGCGGGAGAGCCCGGGGCAGCCATTGTGGCGTGCTCCGTACCGCCTACGTGGGGCCCGGAGCGCCTTTTGGTGGGGCTGGTTCAGGTCAGTGAGCGCGGAGCCGCCGCTCCCTGGACCCCTGGAACCTCCGCGGGGTGCCCATTAGGGAGGGAACCGAGCCTGCGTGTGGTCTAGCCCCGCAGGACTGTTGGTCAAATCATTTCACTTTCTCCAGAAAAATTTCATGCGAAACTTACCAATGATGAGAGAACTTAGAATGATGGTTACCTCTGGGGGATGGAGGGACACAAGGGAACCTAATGGGAGCTGGAAAGGCTCTGTCTCTTGGTCCGGGTGGTAATTACAGAGGTGTGTACATACGTAAAAATTCATCGAGCTGTACACTTCATATTAGTGCACTCAACACACTTTGTATAATATCTCAATTTTTGAAATAATGAAAGGATTGTGAGAATAACTGTAATATTACCATAACCTTAGGCTCCCTGTGACTCCCACGGTATAAACAATCTCACTAGGATTTAACTATCATTCAAAAACTACAAACCATAGGAAGAAAAAAAAGATTGTGAGGGTTAAAAATGAGTGAAAGCTCCTGGCACAGTGAATAACACGGGCAGGTTGATGCTTGAAAGGTGACCTGAGATGGTGCAGAGTGCTTTTTCTTTGAGCATTTGGAGTTTGTTTCGGTGCCTGTCCCTCTTAGGAGCACAAAAGCACCCATGGCACTGCACCCAGTTGAAAACTACAAAGTTTGCTGAGCTGCGTACCTTGTGGCTAACCTAAATTCTGAGCCCAAGGGACTTTTAATTCGAATACCGTGGCTTCTTCCCTGGAGGAGCTCCTAATGCAGCAGTAAGTACAGTTGTTCCTGGAGAAGGGCGCAGTACACAAAGCCAACAGCTACTTACCCTCAGGGATGAGGCGTTCTACTGGATTAGGCAAAGTGTGTGGGCCTAGAACTTAGTACAGTAGGAGACTTATGAAATGCCAGGCTTAGGTGAAACACTCTTAAGAATGAGTCGGGGCGGGCCCATTGGTGCAGAGGTTAAGCGCACATGTTCCGCTTAGTCTGCCTGGGGTTTGCCGGTTCGGATCCCGGGTGCAGACATGGCACTGCTTGGCAAAAGGCATGCTGTGGTAGGCGTCCCATATATAAAGTAGAGGAAGATGGGCATGGATGTTAGCTCAGGGCCAGTCTTCCTCAGCAAAAAGAGGAGGATTGGCAGTAGTTAGCTCAGGGCTAATCTTCCTCAAAAAAGAAAAATGAGTCAGTAATATTCTCCCCAAAAGAAACATAAGAACTCTGGGCCAAATTCCAGCCTGTGAAAGGGCAGCAGCAAAACAGTTAAAGATTACAGGATTCATATTCACTCATTTATCCGTTAAGTTGTTCAGTTCAGATAAATGTCTTTGTTTAAAGTACTCGTCTCTGAAGTAGGCACACAAAGTTAGATAAGACAGTATCTTCCACAGAGCATAGGGTGTAACAGGGAGACAGACATAGACAGATAATTCCACTATAATGCAGGATGAGGATATACATATAAAGAGGATCTAACCCAGCCGGGGGTATTTAAGGCCATCTTCTGAGAAGACACAAACTAAGTTAACCACTGCTGAGGTTTATGAGCAAACCATATGCAATTAGGCACTATTTCTGGAGAATACTTTCATGACAAATTTTTAAATTTTCGTGCAAATATCTTGATTTTCTTAAATAGCTATATATAAATACAAAAACATAAATTAATACTTAGTTCTGAGGAAAACACATGAGGAAATTAAGTAATTGCTTAATGAGTACATTATGATTTTCAAAAATAACTTGAGGATTAAGAGCATAAAGTCATCTCATTTGATTCAAGTCAATGAGTATGCAGCATGTGTCTCCAGCAGAGAACCCACACTGTGCTTTCCGGAGGAGAACTTAAAACAACAGTTCACTCTCCGAGATGGTACTCTCCAAGATAAGGAGGACAGGTTGGGCATGCTGTATGGCTCAGAGTGCACTATCATTCTTAAGTGAATTCAAAGAATTCATATATCTACAAACAGTTAGTAATTAATAGTCTTCACAAAAGGCGTTGAAGGATTTTGCTGGGGGTCTAACCTATAAACTGTAGTAATACGGGAAAAGGTAATCATGCATTCAAGTGCTTTTCCTATCTTTCTTCCACAATAGCTCTGAAAATTCGGCTACCATATATTGGAATCAACTGCATTGTAATTTTATTCAAATATGAAACACCTGTATGTGTTTTTATCCTTGCTATAGAAACATAGTTCTGTAAATGAAGGCAAGTTACACCAAGCCCAAAATGTGATATTATAGTTTACAACCTAAAGAGAGATACCATACATTACTAAGAAAATAGATAGGAATAAACACCAAAAATACATATGCTACACATAATGTAGTTATAGATATTTATGAATCCCTCAGAATTTCATAACTTCTTTAAAAACAGAAAACAAGGTTAAGCTTTAATTTTTTTATGCAAATAATACCTCTTCCTGCTCTGAGTAAACACTTTTCTTATAGCATGTATCAATTTCTAACTCATCTTACATATTTTTCTGTCAATGTCTTATTAAACACAGTTCTGGCGAGGTTCTTCACAGCAGTCTTATGTAAATATTCATCTATGTGTCTGAATTTCACAGAAGAGAAAATTGAGGCTTAATGAGCCAACTAACTGGCCCAAAGTCACATAGCTGTTGGGTGGCAGAAGTGGGATTGAAATCTATGTCAATTTGATGGCAAACTCCCTAATCATTCTGCTATGCCACATTTGCCTCTTCCAAAACAAGATCACGTCATTTTGCCTTGTCCTTATACACTCATGCACCTCATAATGATGTTTTGGTCAACAACAGACCACATATTCAACAGTGGTCCCATAAGATTGGTACCATATGGCCTAGGTGTGTGGTAGTATTGGTACCATATAGCCTAGGTGTGTGGTAGTATTGGTACCATATAGCCTAGGTGTGTGGTAGTACCATGTAGGTTTGTGTAAGTATTGTAGGAGAGGAAGAAATTTTCCTCTACTAAGTTCTTCTGGCTGGCCCAAGAATTAAATTGGCGTGAGACAGATTAACAGGAGAAAGACAAACAAAAGCTTAATAACATGTATACATGGGAGAAAACCAGGAAAACCAAGTAACTCACCGAAATGGCCAAAGCCATCACCTTAAATACTGTCCTCAGCTAAAAACAAAAGAAGATGTTGGGGGTGGGGAGAGTCAGGGACTTCAAAGAGAAGGAAGGCAACTCACAGGTAGGTGAAAAGAAGCAAACATTGGAAAGCAAGTGTTTGGCCACACAGACATGGAAAAACACAGAGGGGAGCTCAACATACAGGCTTTTCTAGGTTCTTCCCTATCTGCCACCTAGTTCATGTGATGCTAAGGTGATAGCTCGCTCCCTGAGACAGGGTTTTTATCTGAATTCTTTTAGGCAGTTAAGGGGGAGGTAACAAGAAAAATTTTCTGAGTCTTTTGTTTCTTAAAAATAATCAGCCTAAAATTATCCTCATGTTAAAGAGACATTTTTTTGAGTGGCAGATTTTGTTCCCCTTCAGTACACTCCATGATGTTTGCACAATGATGAAATTGGCTAATGACACATTTCTCAGAACCTAATCCCATCATTAAGCAACACATGACTGTACATCTTTATATTCACTGCAATGAGTAGCTCAGAATCTTCCATATGTCCCTCATGGAACTCATGGAAATTAAAAATTGCTTGCATCATGCTTTATCTTTACACATTTCATGACAAGCGAGAGTGTGAATATTTAAAAGTAACTGTTTCAGGGGGGCTGGCCCAGTGGCACAGCGGTTACCTTCGCACATTCCGCTTTGGCAGCCTGGGGTTCGCTGGTTCGGATCCCGGGTGTGCACATGGCACTGCTTGGCAAGCCATGCTGTGGTAGGCATCCCACATATAAAGTAGAGGAAGATGGGCACAATGTTAGCTCAGGGCCAGTCTTCCTCAGCAAAAAGAGGATTGGCAGCAGTTAGCTCAGGGCTAATCTTCCTCAAAAGAAAAAAAGTAACTATTTCACATTAAAAATATTTATGTTGATGAAACTAAAGGGAGCATAACTTTCTTTGTAGAAGTTGTGATGGAGAACCCATCACAACTATGTAGAAGGCAACAGTAGTGCTCATTTTCATAGCGTAGAAAAGAGTTTCAGACAACTTTTCTCAAGAGAGCCAAATTTTAGAGAAGGCAGTTATTCTCTGCAATTCAGTTGGTAATCTCTGCTTTGCCCTATACTCAATTACGACATCCAGAATTGGTCTGCTTTAAACATATTTTTAAAGCCTTTTATTAAATAAACAAAATAAAGGGGCCAGCCCCGTGGCATAGTGATTAAGTTCGTGTGCTCTGCTTTGGCAGCCTAGGGTTCACAGGTTCACATCCTGGTTGTGGAACTAGCACACTGGTCAAGCCATGCTGTGGACGCATCCCACATAAAATAGAAGAAGATTGGCCCAGATGTTAGCTCAGGGCCAATCTTCCTCACCATAAAAAAAATCTGCCCAGTTTCTAACATTTCCACTGATACATCAGTTGCCAGTCTGAGCAAGTATGGACACACAGGTCCATGTGCCTTCATTTCCTCATCTCTAAAAGGAGGGTGAAGCTTAATGCCCAGCATCTGTTCTGAGTGTTTCAGAGATCTGTGAAACAAGTTCAGTTTTTGTCTGGAGGTGAATCATCTCACCCTGAGTTATTAAACAGCCTTAATCGAGGTGGGACAAAGATGGAGCTGCTATGTCCTTGGCTCTTCTAAATCATTCCCTGTGTCCTGACTCTTGACTTTCCCATTCTTGAAGGGTGACAGAATATGCCACCCCAAAATATGCCACTTTGGTATAAGGACTATTTTGAGCTAAAGGCACTTTAAAAACGGTAGATGCAAGAGGGCATTCTGACCTCTTCTTCCTGAAAACCGGAGGTAAGAGCTCCGGTGTGAAAGATGCTCTCCCTATACGAGAAGAAAAGAAACCTTCTTCACTGGGGAATCAAAGCCAAGAAAATCCTGTATAAATAGGATTGTTAAAATAATTCTTATCTTCCCTTAGCTTCCCCATATGGTTTAGTTACTTTCCCACAATTGCCTGTCTTTGTTCAACCTATTGTAAAGGCCTATAGGCTTTGCCATTTCTTTGAGTCTTTTGTTATGAGAGCTCCTGTATCATGTAAAACATGTAAATTTGTATACTTTCCTCCGGTTCATCTGTCTTATATCAGTTTAATTCTCAGGCCCAGCTGAAAAACCCTGAGAAGATGGAGGTAAAATTTTGCCTCCACATTTTCAACTGTCTCTGGTGTTACCTAGCTCACAGGTGTTGGGAGGAAGAGGAACAGTATTTGTAGCATTTCTGTAAATATCATCTGTTGTCTATTTTCTAAGCATCATTCTGAAAAGAAGAAACCACCTTGCTAGCCAGTTTCTTTCCACATCTGCTGAGAAGGTCGTTTGGCCGTTCTCTGGTGGATGGCATTGTCAGTGTTTGAACCTCATTTCTTGGTGGTAATAACTCAGTAGAACCCTGAGACCTGGAGATTATTCTTTTCTTTTTCCTGCCTCCTTTTCTTCTTTTTCTTTTTTCGGGATTTACTCCTTTTGTACATGAGTCAGAACAGAGCTGCTGCAGATGCCCAGAAATGAGAATCACTTGTTCCTCCTCTGGGTTCCAACATCACAGCATGTCCCAGGTGCGAGCCACAGACTCTGACTCTCCTATTTCTGGCTCTTTGGATGGTGCTTTTTGAGAACTGTGACTGAAGTCTCTAAGATCAGTACCAGCACACCCTTGAGCTTCTAGGGAAACACCTCCTCCCAGAAATATTTGCAAACAAACGCCCGGGACTGGAGAACCTCAGGCAGCGAACCATACCTCCATGTAAAAACATTGCCAGTATGTACAAAGGTGCGACTGTAAGAAAATAAAACTTTGACTCAGTCCCTAGTCACTTATTCTCCAGAGCAGAGAACATGCATGGATTACAGTTTCTCCACAAAAAAAAAGCGCCATTTAATCACTCTATTATGATTATGGATTAGAGCAGCCAATTGCAGGTTTTTCCTAATGAATTCGGCAGTGGTTGGCTTGAGAAGAATGGAGCATAGTGATGAGAGTCCGGACTCTAGAACTGAAATCCTGCCTGTGGAATCCCAGCACCACGACTTATTCTCTGTGTGACTCTGGACAAGTTATTTACCTTCCGTGCCTCAGTTTCTCAGGGGGTAAAAGGAAATAACAATAGCAGCACCTACCTCCTAGGGGTGCTATGAAGCTGAATGAGTTATTATTTTAAAGCACTTACCACAGTTTCTGGCACATTGTAAGCCCTATCTAAAGGCTTACCTTTAAGATTATTAATTCTTAAGGAAAAGAAAATAGAGTGAAAGACTTCCCAGAACCTATAATACTGCCTATCTTCTACTTTTTAAAGATATACTAATACGCCAAACACTATAGATATTATTTCCAAACCGCACAACAAGGTAGGTATTACTGTCTTCGTTTTACAGACAAGGAAGTGGAAGATTAGAGAATCTAATTAAATTGCCTAAGAGCACATAACTGAGTAGTGGAGTTGTGAATTCTAACCTGGATGTGTCTAATTCCAAAGTATGTGCCCTTCCACTGCACAACATTGTTCCCTAAAACTTATTCTTCCTCTACATTTATTTATATCCACACTATTTTATTTTTTTTACTTATTTATTTATTTATTTTCTTTTTTGAGGAAGATTAGCCCTGAGCTAACTGCTGCCAAGCCTCCTCTTTTTGCTGAGGAAGACTGGCCCTGAGCTAACATCCATGCCCGTCTTCCTCTGCTTTATATATGGGATGCCTACCACAGCATGGCTTGCCAAGCGGTGCCATGTCTGCACCCGGGATCCGAACCGGCGAACCCAGGGCCGCCAAAAAGCAGTAAGTGCGAACCTAACCACTGCACCACCAGGCTGGCCTCTATCCACACTATTTTAAAACTGGTTTTAGGAGTCACTGTGCCCATCCCCTCTCTCCTTTCACAAAGAGATCATAAGAAGTTAAGTGGCTTTCCCAAGACTACCTAAGTACTTAATGACTGTTAAGTAGCCTTTGAATGCCAACCAACCATTTGGTGATAAGGAAAAGAATACACAGTTATATATATGACTTATCACAGTGCCTTTCACATGGTAAGCAATCAACACTAGCTATTCGTTCATTTAACATTCATTTATTACAAATCAGGCACCTGGGAATACAAAAATGAGCAAGATATGATTCCTTTTGCAGCTCACACTAGCTGTCCAGTATGGTAGCCGCTAACCACATGTGGCTGTTAAGCACTTGAAATGTGACCAGTCCAGATTCGCATGTACTATAAGTACAAAAACCACACAGGATTTTGAAGACTTAGTACAAAAAAAAAAGATAAAATACCGTATTAACAAGTTTTCTGTTAGTTACATGTTGAAATGACAATACTTGGGATATCTTGGGTTAAATAAAAATATTATTGAAATTCTTTCCCTCTGTTTCTTTTTAGTTTTTTTAGTGTAGCTACTAGAAAAGTTAAAATTACATGTGGTTTGTATTTCTGTTGCACAGTATTGGTCAAGATGGCAAAAAAGATGAACACAATAAAATATAAGTGCTATGAGAAGAGTCAAAAGAATGTTCTGTGGGAACACTGAGGATCAGCTGCCTAGAGGAGTCAAGAAAAGTTTCACAGACGAGGTAATAGTTGAATCCCAAAGGATGAGCAAGGTATTGTCAGATGACTGTTTTCCAGCTAGAAGATGAGCATGTAGAATGTCACATAAACAGGAGAGAGTAACCAACAAGTTGAAATGTGATAAAGAGCTTGACTTTCCTCGAGTTTGGGATAGAGGGCAGGAGTGCTTGATGAGACATAGTAAGAGATGAAGTTGGAAAAAGAGGTTAAAGAAAGATTATGAAAAGCCTCGCATGACATGTACTATTGAAGTTTTTTATGAAAGAAGACTCATGTTAATTTAATTGAGCTTTAGAAAGATAACTCTAGGGGCTGGTCCTATGGCATAGTGGTTAAGTTCAACATGCTCTGCTTCACCAGCCCACATTCACAGGTCAGATCCCGGGCGGGGACCTATGCCACTTGTCAGCCATGCTGTGGTGGCATCCCACATACAAAACAGGAAGATCGGCACAGATGTTAGCTCAGGGACAATCTTCCTCAAGAAAAACAAAAAAGGAAGATTGGCAACAGATGTAGCTCAAGGCGAATCTTCTTCAGCAACAACAACAATGAAAAGATAACTCTGGTGGCCATATGGAGATTGGATGGGAGGTAGGAAAAAAACTTGGGACAGGAGAATGGGGAACAAAAATAGGAGATTTAGATGGCCATAATTTGGGCAATGGTATTGGGAAGTCAGAGGAGGACAGGGCCATAAAAGATAGTAGGACTGACAAGACTTGATACCTTATGTCTGGGAAGCAAAGAAAAGAGAGGGATCAAGAGAGACACCAGTTGTAATTGTACATGATTATGTAGTGACAGTTCCTTCTGTTTATTCAACAAATATTTATTGAAGGCCTACTTTTGTGCCAGGTAAAAGGTAATAGTGCTTAATGGACCCCTGTGACAATGTCTTAACATTATGACATATTATGATTATGTTTAAAACATTTACTAGGGATCAGAAAAGAATAAATAGTTAAATCCATATTTAATTATTGACCCACTAATGAAACTTTTATTTTACTTCTGTGGAATTATATCTTATTTTCTGGGAGCTTAAAGCTCAGTGCTAAGGTGAGAGGAGGAGTTCCTCATCAAATGAGAGAGCCACTTAGAGCAGGAATCCGATCCCTGAGGGGAGAGGTCAGCCCACAACTGACAGGTATAAAGTCTGATAATATGAAGTTTAGGAAAGGATATGAAGAAACAGGAACTCCTTCATCAACTGCTTGTAAATTAGTAAATTGCATCTTGAAAAGCAATTTGGTAGTTTGTATTAACATTCAAAATGTGCACTTCATAGAACTCAGCGACTGGATTTCTGTATCCCTGAAAGTGCTCCACAAAGCGAGCGTCCAGTGCCCCAGGCATGTGTGGAAAGAAAATAGAAGAGCTTCCGATTACATGTATTTTTAAAAATATATATTTATACAGAAATGAAAAGGAAATTGAGCTTTACTAAAATTTAGTCTAAGGATTGAAGCAGGCACCTTCCTCCAGTCTGTGTATCAAATATCACATGCATGCTGACAACTCCCAAATTTAAACATCCAGGCTTACCTTCTCCCCTGAACTTTGCCCACCAAGTATCTTCGCTCGGAAATATATGATTACGTTGAAAATACGGAAAGACTGGGAAGTTAGTAGGTAATTTATTAATAAAACAGATGAACCAAGAGAGCAGTATATCAATATTATTAAAGTTTATTGAGGTAAATGACAGAATTCCATCTTGAAGTGCTAGAAGCAAATCCTCCCTCATTACCATCCCCCTCGAGGTGCCATTCTCTTCCCTCTGACAGCCTTTCCCCTGGGCACTGGCACTGGTGCAAGAACAGCCTGGGGTGTGGGATTGCTGGGGAGCAAGGAAGACAGGCCTTAGGGCTAAGGAACTGGCCAAAGTCTAAACTATGAGGCAAGAGATTAGTGTAACAAAGAACCGAACAGAAAGTTCTATGGAAAAGGGAGAGGCAGTATATCAGGAAGTGCCAGAATTATGGTCACAAGATGTATTGGGATGGAGTCTGCCCTTTCTCGCTCCTTCTCCTCTTCATAAAATCTCAGCTTTGGAAATTCCCAGTCCAGTCACCCTTTCTTGACCAAAGGGAAGTATAAAAGTTAGGAGGGGATGAAGGACATGGTGTGGAATAATACCATGGCAACAGCAGACGGGGCTTTTTCTTCCCTTTCTTGCTTGCTATCCCTCTCACCTTTCCCACCATGGGCACAGTACAGAAATAGGGACCAGAATGGAAGGGGAAACTGAGTCGAGGCCCTGAGACTGACAAGGATCAGCTCCCAGAGAGGAGAACAAGGTGGGGTTAACTGCTCATCCACAGTGTAGAGGGAAGGAAATTTCCTGCTCTACCCAATCCTGGGGGAGGAATACACAGAAGTCACGCATTTCTAAGTCCAGGCTTGTCTGTAGTAACAGGACAAAAATTCTGTCAGTCAAAAATTACCCCATCCGTTTCTTTAAAGTCAAGTGTTTATTTACTGTAGTAATCAGAAAAAAAATTATGTGTAATAAAATTTGAAAAATGAAGAGGTAAGAAATATTGAGCACCCTGAGTTCTCATTCTGGCTTCACGTACAAAGATGCTCTGCCTGCCTTTGCTCGACTCGCCAACACGTTGTAGTTTTCAAGGGTTTGGTGAAATCTGAGTGGGAAGGAAACTCTCAGGTACCACAGTTAAACTAAAAATTATTGGTAACCAGCTAGAGCCATAGTGGCCAGAAGAACTTGAAGTTCAAGGCAAAGTTTTAGAAACAGTAAAAAGTGAGAAAGGGGAAGGACCTAATGCTTGATATACAGGTGATACGAATATTTCTTCATCTCTGAAAAGAAAAGTGGCAATTCAGGTTACACAGGCCTTCAGCTGTAGAATGATAAGGAAAAGCACAAGGAAAGAACACAGATTAAAGAAAAATTAGTTATATAGGAGAGAGAAAATCAACTTATTTTCTTTCAACATGGTAGGAAGCTGGTAAAGGCTGGATTCCAGTCATTTTTTATCGGTGTAGTGCCCTAATTTTTCCAGAATACAGCCACAACTTCTACTTAAAAACATCAAGGGGGCTGAAGGAATCTCACTTTTGAAACTGGTACTGATGTTACTCAGGAAAGTGGAAGGGATGCCAAGGTATCCAAAATAGCAAGTATGGTGTTACTGGCAGTGTTGCTGGGAGAGCTGGCTGCCAGGAGGCCTAAGGGACTGCAGCAACAACATAGATAAAGGGCTGGGTGTGGGAGTGTGCAGGAGTTAGGAAGGGAACCCATCAGATTGCAGGGCCTGAATTTGAGACTTGCTAGACAAGAAAGCAGACTTTGGACCCTAGAATGAGCAGGTTCTCAGTGAGAGATTAATAACAAAATTTTCTGAGGTTGGTGCAATTGGCCCGAGTACCAGTTGATTGATTTATAATCAGGAGATATATTTCTATAGTGACAGGATGCTCATGTGCCCTCTTCAACGCAGGCCTCCCAGGACCACAGCCTCCTGTAGGCCGCATCAGCAGTCCAAAAGTTGTTGGGTAATCAGGGAATTCCAGCCAAAGGAGACAGACCTGAGGCATATTTCAGCCAGCTAAGGCCTGAGGAAATATTCCTGACCCGCAGAAGAACACTTTTCTTGTACTAGACACTCTGTCAGAATTTGCTTTTCCTGAGCCTGCTTCTTTTGGAATAATGTTAAAGATTTTATTTTTCCTTTTTCTCCCCAAAGCCTCCCAGTATATAGTTGTGTATTTTTAGTTGTGGGTCCTTCTAGTTGTGGCATGTGGGATGCCGCCTCAGCATGGCTTGATGAGCAGTGCCATGTCCGTGCCCAGGATTTGAACTGGTGAAACCCTGGGCTGCCGAAGCAGAGTGCGCGATCTTAATCACTCGGCCAAGGGGCCGGCCCCTGGAATAAGTTTAGATTTACTAAAAAGTTGCAGAGGTAGTATCGAGAGTTCCTATACACCCTTCACCCAGCTTCCCCTAATGTTAACATCTTACACAAGCATGGTACAGTTGTCAAAAGTAAGAAATTAACATTGGTATTATACCATTAACTGTGGCCTTTTATTCAGATTTTACCAGCTTTCTGCTAATGTCCTTTGTCTATGCAAGTATTTGACCCAGTATCCCACATTGCATTTAGTCATCACAATTCCTTAATCCCCTCCAGTCTTTGACAGTTTCTCAGTCTTTCCTTGGTTTTCATGACTTTGACAGTTTTGAGGAGTACTGGTCAGATATTTTGTAGAATGTCCTTCAGTTTGGGCTTTTCTCACGATTACACCAGAGTTACGAGTTTTGGGGGAAATTACCACAAAGGTGAAGTGCCTTTTCCTCACATATTATCAGGGGGCATATGGTATTAACACGATTTATCAGTGATGATGTTGACCTTACCCACTTGGTTAAGGTAGGGCCTGCCAGTATTCTCCACCGTAACGTTACTATTTTTCTTTCCCATACTCTGTTCTTTGGAAGCAAATCACTAAGTCCAGCCTACACTCAAGGAGAAGGGAATTAAGCTCTATTTCGCGGAGGGGGAAGTGTCCACAAATATTGTTCTGAATTCTGTAAGGGAAATTTGTTTTTTCTCCCTCACTTACCTATTTACTTATATATTCAATTGTTTATTTATATCAGTATGGGCTTGTGGATATTTACTTTATTCTTTGGGTTATAATTGAATACTATCGTTATTTTGTTGCTCAAATTGTTTCAGCTTTGGCCAGATTTTTCTGGCTTTGAGAACTCTTCCAGGTTACCTCCTGTGTCCTTTTATTGGAGAACTGTATTTAGAAACCAAGATTTGAGTCTTGGATGTGCTCATCGCTACTGAGGTACCACTCCTAGGCCCACTCAGTGAACAGAGCGAGCCGATCTGTTTGTGTGTGTGCACATAGATATTTCCATTAACATGTAAACGCATGTGTTCATATTCATCTCTGTGTCTATCTGCATATATATTAAAATACACTTTAGTTCATCCAGAGATCCCCAACTATAGCACAGCAC